TTACACAAAAGACAATTGATATGTAATACCAAAGGGGTTGATTATAATAGAAATAATTTAAAATTCTTAAAATGAAAATTAATCTGGTTCAGGGAAAGGATCCCAAAGACTTTTACCTTTCCAGTGAAAATATTTACAGTAAAGCAAGAATTTTCAGCTTCACCAGCAAGAAATAAATAAATTCCTCAGAAGATATTTTTGAATTATACAACATATAATTTTCATTATTGAACCACCAGAAAAACAAAAACAAAAAACAAAAAACAGTATCCCTACCTCTTCATCTTCATAGGAGTAAACTCATCCCAAGTATCCATCCCAAGTAGAACATCCTCAAATGGGGATCCTTTAGGCACTGAGTACAACAGATTCCTAAAAGAAGACAGTTAGTGGCTAAGAAGAATTTGGGTTATCTCCGAGTTTGTGGGCTCAGGCTCACCTACGGAGGTACTACAAGAGGAATCCTGTTGGTTAATGCAACCTTCTGAACACTTGCACCAGTGGCTTCAGGACTTACTGCTGTAGGATAGGAAGCCAATACTTTCAGATTGAGAGCTTGGATGGCAATGACATTTTCAGTCAAAGAATTCCAGTTCTTCTTACAGTTTCAATTCTAAAGGATACACTCAAAGAACACAGAACTTAGGTGAAAAGATTGTGACAAGATTTAGGCAAAGAAATCATGGCCCATGACAGTATTGCTGTCTTAGTGAATCCACTGTTTTTATACTGAACATTTTCTTGATAATATGAAAAATTAATATCTAGAATATTATAAATTATAATATTATGTTTACTTATCACATTGTCTTTTCACTTTCAAGAGCAGACTTTATTATGCTGTTTATAAATTTCATGTGTTTCAGGACCACCATCGAGCTTTAGCCATCAATTTTCTCATGGCCTCTTTAACATCCTTATTTCTGAGACTGTAGATGAGAGGGTTCAACATGGGGATGACCACTGTGTAGAACACAGACACCACCTTGTTCTGGTCAGTGGAGTAGCTGGACTTGGGCATCACATAAATAAATGTAATGGTTCCAAAGAACAGAGTGACTGCAGTGAGGTGGGAGGTGCAGGTGGAGAAGGCCTTCTGGCGGCCCTCAGTGGATCGCATCTTCATGACTGAGACAAGGATGTAGACATAAGACAGAGCGATGATGAACACAGTGACCACAATGATGGAGCCAGAAGAGATCGCTGGAATTACTTCAAAAGAAAAGTCATGAAAACAAGAAAGCTTCAAAAGTGGTGAATAGTCACAGAAAAAGTGATTAACTTTATTTGGTCCACAAAAGGACAGATTTAATGAACAGCCAGTGAATATCCAAGCATTCACACATCCACCCAGGTAGGAAGCTGCCACTAGGAGAATGCAGATTCTGGAGGACATTTGGGTGGAATAGAGCAGGGGTGAGCAGATGGCCACATAGCGGTCATAGGCCATGGAAGCCAGTAGGAAAGACTCAGATGTCCCAAATGTCACCACAGAACAGAGCTGGGCTACACAGCCAGCCACAGGGACAAATGTTCCTTTCCTGAGAAGACCTTTAAGCATGATTGGTGTGACTGAGGAGGAGTACCCAATGTCTAAAAAGGCCAAATGGCTGAGGAAAAGGTACATGGGGGTGTGAAGCTGAGGGCTGCTTCTGATTAATATGATTATGTTCAAATTTCCCATTAAAGTGGCAGAATAGACTCCCAGAAACACAACAAATAAAATGGCACAAACTGTAGCATCTTCTGTTAACCCCAAGAGAATGAACTCTGTCACAACTGAGTAGTTTCCACGCTCCATTTATGTCAGGAGTTGTACCCACTGCAAGAAAAGTGAGCAGTTGTTAGAATGGAATTCAGTATCACTTGTATATTTTTCACAGTAACCACATTATAATATAAAGGACAAGACTACAGACACTCATTTCACATATGCAGTGAAGTTTTAAATATGAAACCTTATGTAGGAACTTAAAAAATAAACATTCATTGATGCTTTCTCATTAATCATTGGAACTATTTTAGTTTGATATGTTCAAATCATGCATGCCTCACCTTTGCAGTTTATGCTTCAATATGGAATCAATATCAACTGAAATAGAGCAATTCATTTTTTTCTTTCAAGAATCCAGTGTCAAGAAGAGTGAACTCATGTTCTAGCTTTGTTATTGACAATCTTCAGAGTTTAGAAAATTGACCTACACTATACAATGCCCACAGTTACTTATTTTATTTTTCCCAATTTTATTGAGTTTTGTGCATTTCATATAATACATCTTAATCAAATTTAGACCACCTCTTCTCCCATCAGATTTCAAATAGTCAGCAATACTTCCTTATGCAACAGAGTGAGATGAACACAGAATGCCCCAAATGACTAAGTTTTAGGGGATAAGAAACTATAATTAATTAAAAAACAACAACATGCCAACTCATGGCATTTATCTTTTGCAGAAGATGATATACATAACAATATCATTCATTGATCATAGTAACAGGTGAATGTGGAGCAAATTATTTATACCTTAAATAGTGAACTTTTAACTTCCAATATAAAAATGAAAAAAATCACCCCTGTATCAACAGAAAAGGAAAACTATTGCTTGTCAATGACTGTGCCACAAGGAGAACGACAAATGACAAAGAATTGTTAATGTTAAGAAGGCTGTGCTTATGAGAAATGGTACCTTTGAGGGTGTAACCCCTTGAGTACCTAGGCTGCTTGTTAAAATTCCATGGAAAATCCATAAGGACTATGAAAATTACAGATACTCATGAACATATAAGTATGGGTTATCCACTGGAACCTCTTAATTTTTGTGCTCATTAACTTTGTAGATGAAAACTTCACTGTAATTGAATGCCAACAATTCATCCTAACTCTATTAGAGCTCACAAGAGTAAACCAAAGTACAGTTCAGTAGAAACACTTTC